CACACACACACGTACAGCCTATGCCCCTTATGCTGTCGCCCTGACTGACTAACTGGGCTAACATGCATGAACAGTAACATATGTTGGACTTTGGCGCAAAGTTTTGCCAGTTTTTGGCGCGCTTGAGCCACGAATCCATTTTTAGCAACTCGTATCTGCCCCCCCTACACACACTCACACACAACTAGCCACACCCATGTGCCCTCGTTCAGTGTGTGTGTGTGTGTGGAACGTGTGCGTATTGCGGTTGAGTTAACAACGCACACTTTAGGCGCAGCATGCAACAGCTGTGGCACACTGGCTACCCTTAACCGAACCACCCCCTAGCTTAGCAAAGCCCCCCTCTAGTCGTTGCGACTAACAAAGTTTAGCCCAAAACAAATTAAAGTTATAGTAAATTAGGGTATCATCAGCTTGGCAGAGGCGATTATCATTTCAATGGAACTCAGCAAGTTTGCATACTTTATACTAAAGAAATGTCAGTCAGTGTTGTAAAAGGGCTAAAAAAAATTTGGTGTGGATGATATCTCATTCCTCCTTGAAGGAAAGGGGGGTCAAAGATTTGGTGGTGTTCAAATTTATTTTCAAAGATCTACACGAAAAATCGTTTGAGACGTGTTTCACACTTTTCGCAGAATGCAAGCTTCCTCGGTAGAAATGCGATTCAAAGATTCTTTGGGCTCAGTTACTAACTTACTTTCAAAGCTCTACATAAGAACTTAATGAAAACGTATTTCATCGAGTTGAGAAACTCCACCCCTTAAAGTGGTAAATTGGCGGAAAACGGTCGCATGAAAGTTTGCTTCCCGTCCGATCGGTTTAATACTCATTTTCAATGATGTTTAAGGGAATTTATTTTATGCGTGCCACGGGCAAGGCCGGGGTATTTCCGCTAGTTAATTATATATAAGCACATGTTTTAACATTCCAATCAAATGCAAATACATTAAAGCTAGCTGCACGAAAACCAAAAATACATATATTTTTCAAAAATAATTTGGTTTAAAGTAAATAGCATTAGAGTAAGCCTCAGCCCCAAAGCATCTATAGCTTGAGTTGATGACAATTTTGGGTGGAAATCTAACTTAGCCCGCAATTTCTAAAGGAAAATATTTATGGCTGGCAATATTTTCCGTAGAATGGGCAGCACTTAAATTTAATGCTGTATTATTTTATAAAAATTTTAAAAAGTTAATAATTAAGGTTAGGCTTGAGCGAAAGACCTGCTTTCCAAGCTGTGCTATAAGCGAGGTTCTCGAACCGAAGCAAATCTGTCAACGTTATTTTTTTTTCTTTTAAAGAAGTTCAGATTAGACGGGATACATATAAATAAATCTATCTGGCACAGATAGTCTTACTTAAAGTCAACTTAAAGTAATCAACGACTTAGCCAAATGATGCCACAGAAAACAAAGAAAAAACCCTAAAACACTTGGATTTTCTAGCATGACAAAGGAAAAGGTCGAAACAAGTTGGTGTGTGTGTGTCTGGGTGTGTGTAAACTTAATATCGAAATAAAAAGCCGTCAATATTAGACAACGAAAAAAACAAGGTTAACAATGCCAGCGCGAGGGAGGCACAAAAAACGAATATTTGACATAGGAAAAACAAGTCCCAAAATAAAAAGAAAAAACTCAAAAAAAAAAAAACGGAACCAACTTTTGCCAAGTTTTTAGAAGGGTATTGGTGAGAGGTGGGGGGTGGGGGGTGCAGTTCTCGCAAGGACCCCGCAAAATATATATGCCTAAAAATGGGCATGCCGAAAATAAATATGGCAACAAAATGGCAACCAAGGGCTTGACAAGGCGGCAAGGGGGTAGGCGGGCTGTTCAGGCCGAAGACGTTTATGCGTGGGTGTCGTCATGGGAGAGGGGGGGGTCGGTGGGCGGGAGGGGTTCAATGTCTGAGCCTGTGAGCTATACGAATTGCATATGCCGAACACGTATTTGCGCTATAATTATTTCGTACGTGAGCGCAGCGCTCAACTTGGCCCGGAAAGCAGCCCTAGACGCTCGTGGACCAAAGACAATGCCAACAGAACAGAGAGGAGAGAGAGAAAGAGAGTGAGAGGGGCGAGAGAGAGGGAGCCAGATTTGCTACCGTATGGCAGCAGACTTGCATCCTGTTCCGAGTGTCTACGAAGACATCGCTAAGCTTAAGACTACAGCTGGCCTTAAGCGATAAATTGACTTAGCTTCTATTCAAGAACTTGAGATGAGAGCGTGAGCTCGTGACACGATAGACACGATGAGAATATGCAATAAAAACAAAATAATAATAAATAAATACATTATAAATACATTTTGAATTGTTACTTAATTTTCAGAATATCGATAAATATCGATAAATATATTAAGACTTGGGACGAAACATCGATGATCGTATGGTACGCACAGCTTAAGAATATTTTTCTTTTCGTATGCCTCCCCCACGTTACCAACAATATGAGCAAAATAAATCATTTTGTAATGTAGATCTTTGGGCTTTGGTAAATACACGATACTTATCCAAGAATATATTTCCCATATTGTGGGGCTCAAGGAAGAGGAAGCACAACCGCTGCGTTATGTATATGAGGGTTTATAACGGCAGCTCGACTCTCTTCTCTGTCCATCTCTAGTGGAAAATCTAGCAAGTCTGGTAGAAAGAGCTAAAGACAAAGATGGTGAGTAAAGGACAGTGAGAAAAGAGGTGAGAAGAGAGCAGGTCTGCATTATGCCATGACGCAGGCAGACAACAGAGGGCGCCAGCGAGCTGCGAATGAGATGCAATCAGCAGGCAGCAGACAGGTCTCAGCTCTGATGCAGACCCTGACAGCTCGCAGACAGAGCCACCAACTGTGGCCAGGTGCCATCCGCACCCTTCACCTGGCATCTGGACAGAGATAACCGCGAAAAAATAAATATTACTAGAAGCTCAAATGCGACAGCTTCAGCCACATGACAAGAGATTCGCCACCGAACAGCTGAGACATTTTTGCATACATGCAACATCAGCAGCAAGTTGCAAGCATGCGAGTGTGTTGCCTGTGGCAACTGGTAAGTGGTAAGTGGAAATAAGTGTACGCTGTAATTCAATTATGAACGCAATTATAGTGGAACATGCTAGAGTTAATGTTGGGTTTAATTGAGGTATATTTGGAGCAAAAGAGGACATTTATTTAAGGTATCTGCTTGGGGTAGAAATTAAAAACTTGACGATAAAGCAAAAACCTAACCCAACTTACAAAAAGTAACATGAAGATGTTCTGAACCGTTCTGTATGTTTGATAATAGTGAGATGCGTAGAGTGTATAAAGCTCCATTGTAATAAACATCAACTTAAATGGATATCATTTGTTGAAAATCGCATAGAAAGGTGTTTACACTAATGAGTAATCAGAGGCGGCCGCTTATGAGTCACAGCTCATTAAGAGCAGCAACCTCATCAACACAAGGGTGACAGCCAAAAAGGGAGAGACTGAGAAAGAGAAAGAGAGAGAGAATGAACAAGAAATTGAGAGAGGGAAAGGCGAATCCACATGCAACTTAATTCACATAAAAGTCACATAAAGTAAACAAGTTTGATTATGTGGCTACGGGAAAGAATAAGAGAAACACAGTGACAATAGAAGAGTGGTAGTTTGGAGAAGGGGGAGGGGATGGTTTGGTAGTTTTAGAGGGGGTAAATACTTCAATGGAATCTGTCTGGCCCGGACGCAAAGCTGCTGCTGGAGTTGCCGCTGACTGTGCCAGTTGTCGCCTCTGTAGTAATTAACATTCACAATGAAAATGAAAACGAGCAACTGCAGCGGGCTGCGACGGGTGGGTTGGGTAGTGCCAGGGGCAAGGTGGGGGGTGCAGAGTGGATGCGTAGTTCGGCAACGGGTCGGCCCACTGGGGGCAAAACTTTTTAATAACTCGCAACAACAAAAACAACGGCGGCAAAAACAATAATGACAACAACTATACAACACACACACACGCACATACACACACATGCACACACACACGCGCATAACAACCGCCACAATAATGACACACAAAACTTTGACAATGTAGTCGTGCGTGCTGACGCCCCCCGCTCTAGCAACGAATCATGGCCGCGTCGCATTGTGGCAGCAACAGCCAACCCCTCCCCTCCCCTCCCCCGCCAACGTCCGCTGCCGCTAGCCCATTGCCATTCAAGCCGCGTCCCCGATGCCTCAGCGGAAAAGGATTTCAGCCGCAATGAAAACAGCTATGAAAGCCACAATATGCGAGGAGGGGCTTGGCGGAGGGGGCTAGGTGGCTGCAGAGGTGTGGCCGTTGCAGTCGGGCATACGCAACATCAAATTGCTGACCACACACAGCGAAAGGCGTGCAGGCGGCGGTGTGGTGAGGTGGTGGGGTGGGTGTCGTGGTCAGGGGGAGGCGACGTGTGGCGTCGTCTGGTTGAATGGTTATTCAATCGCAACGAGTGTGCGTTACAATTGAAGCGGGTTTCAAATAAACGAATGTGGCTTATTACGCACACCCACAGGCCCTCCAACACACGCACACACCAACACACACAACAACACACAAGCGCACACAGCTCAAATTCGCACAACAAAATAAATGTCAAATTGAAGTTGACAAGCTGTGGCATAGACAGGCAGACACGGGAGAGAGAGGGGTAGAGAAGAGAGAGAGAGATATAGAGAGAAAGAGAGAGAGAGTGAGAACGATAAAGAGGGAAAGGACAGAGAGAAAGAGAGAGCGCTAGTGAGAGTGAGCGGAAAGGGAACGAGCCAAACAATTGGCCAAACGTAGGACCAGCAGCCTACAAGCCCAGTACAGTGTGTACTCAATATAACACACAGCAGTTGTCAAATAAAAGTTGCTTAAAAAGTGCTCATTTAAGGCTAATTCCAGTCTTTCACACCGCAAAGCTTTTGTTGTAGGTTTTTGTCAAATCAGAACTGAGTAGCCAGAGAATTTTGATAGCTGTCATCCGCACCTTGCTGGAGAAACTACACACGAACAATTCTCAGTTTCATTCACATCTAGCTGAGGCTAGCATCAAAAATAGAAAACAGCTTACACATTTTGGAAAAAGAGACTTGAAAACAGAAAAAAAAGGGAAACAAAACAGAATAAGAAAATGTTAAAGTAATATTAAGCAAAAAGTGCGCATTTCTTTTCGCTTGTTAGTTTCTTGTTTATATTTTTATTTTATTAACGGAGGTAACTTCTGTCTTTTATATGTTTATATATTGTAAATGTTACCTACATTTTCTGTCTACCATTCGTTTGCAGCTCTCATAATCATAGACGGCGATTGCTGAAGCTCTCAACCTGACGACGAACCCGTTTCTCCACTCCCATGCGAAAGACTTGACATGAGCAACACAACACGGATGAAGTAAGTTGAGAGCTTGGTTAACATCTGCCTAATTATCAAACTGTCCACAAATTCTGCGCAGTCCTAAACAGAACTCAAGAAATAAGAATAATGGATGTGTATTACACTGGTATGTGAAAACTTTTATGAGGAAATCCAAAATTCTGGTGCTGATCATAAATCTTGGAAGCCTCGCGCAGATAACCAAATAAAAATAATTTAAATATCGATAAGACTTGCTGCATACATAAATTGTTATCTATTTTAGTTAAATGTTCAAAATTGTAGAGTTAAAAAAAAAATCAAAGAAGTAAAATTTCTGATTTTTCAGCGCCTTCTATCCAGGATCTTTCCTTTCAGTCCTTAGCCCCGGACTTGACGAAGATTGGTATTTGTAGTGTGGAAGAGTAGGAAGAGGGTATTTTTTTTTTCAACAATATTCAGCAATTATGCTAAGAGGAAACCTCGCTATAGAACTGCCTAGAAGTGAGTAGGAAATCGATAATCAGAGATAATAATATTGATATACGAGAATATCCTTAGCCTCATCTATCGAATAGCAAGCTGGTCAATTAATATTTTGGGTTATAAGAAAATGTTTAATCGCCTTTAATTGAAAATTTTCGTTTCACATAAAGTTTGCTCTGTGTCCACAGCAAGCAATGGGCTTCTCATGTCTTACTGAAACCAAAATGATTTCCATTTATGCAAGGTCCCATTTGTTTTCCTTGTTTCGGCAAAAGTAACGCACAAGCTACTGGTTAAAAAGGGTATCCAAAAAGAATAAACCATAATATCTAAACGGCCAACTTACATAAATAAATACAACTTTTAACCTGACAACTTCCACTTTTCACTTAAGCAAAACAAAGTATTCTACTCAATTTTCATTTTTTCATTTCTTTACCTTTTACCCATAAACTTGAAGTGTACTCTCGACTACGATTTCAGTCGTACTGTGGATTTGAGTTTTGTGGTCACCCCCTGGAAATCTGGGTGACAGCTTTGAAGGTGCCGGTGCAGAAAGGCTACTAGATTGAGTTAAATAAAGAAAGGCTACTAGATTGAGTTAAATAATTCATAGAGTACTCACCTAAGCCGAGCGACTGGTCAAAACCTTATCGCTTACAGTCTTATAGTTAACCTTTATAAACTTTATCAGTTAACTGTCTTAGATTCACGCTCAAATTCTAAAGAAAAATGTCTTGTCAAACTCTTGGCTTTAAAAAAGATGTTTAGGGACTTGCAACTAAATATGCCTCGGGATATGCTCAGAGCTTCGCAGATCTTAAAAATCAAAGATGAAAATATTGTGATATAAAAGACGGCAATAATATTAGATTAATTAATTATTGCATCCATAATTTAAGACTTACAGACTAGTCAAAGGTTATTGTTGCCTCACCCTCTCACCCGCCCCCCTTTCACTATCTCTCTCTCTCTCTCTCTCTCTCTCTGTTTCTGTCTATCTTTCAGTCTCTCGCTCTTAACCCCTGTGAAGCACTTGACACCAACTTGAGGCAGAGACAACCCTCATCAAGAAGTCGTTTGTGTTTACGATTTACCTAAATATAGGGAGGTGGGCAGGGGGGGGGGGGGGAGGGTTTGGCGAAAAATCTTGCAACATCTTGGACACCTGGAGGCGCCACCAATTATTCGGCGTGGCATCATTTTGGGGCGGGGCAACGCTTGAAGGCATTTACACACTTTGATCAAGCCAGCTAATAAGATTTTAAAGGGTATTTTTCTACACACACAAAGGCGTTGGGCGTGTCGGAAATCAAGTGAAAAATGAAAAAGCTGCTCAACACTCACTCGATGGCGGCAAGAAAGGAGCCTGGGGATAAGGCACACAATGATGCATAGAATGGGGCATAGAATGAGGCATGTGGCATGCCCCACTCGACAGGGCTAATTTTATTAATGTTACCAATTTTGAACGGTCTCTGCCTCCTTTTCGCCCTCTAACGCTACATGAACAGGTAAGGTTTGGTTGAATGGGGTGGGGTGGAGGGTGCGTGTGTTGCAAGGGTTGCAAAGCTTACGCGCGCAATTAAATATGAAATATTTAAGAGCTGCCTGACTTGGGGCAAGCGGGGAGCAACCAGCAGGCGCAATGGCAGGGGAGTAGGCCGACGATGATGTAGGGAGGGGGGGGGGGGGGTCGGTTACAATGTGCGTTTCATTCACTTGCAAAAAGTTTTTGGAGCAAACAAAGTGCGCAACGGAGCGGGCAACCGGGAGGGCGAAACTGGCTGCGACGAGGCTAATTAATAATTTTTAGGCCATTCAGCACAAAAATTAAGCTACGGGGAGGCATAAGGGGAAGGCAGGCAGGAGCGGGCTGATGAAGAGCATACAGAGGCGAGTGGCGAGTGGCGCGTGGCGTGTGGCGAGGGTCTGTGCTGCAGGTGCGTCGGCAAACTTTGACTCGAGTTGATTAAGTTGCTTTTTAATGAAGTTCAAAGTGATTTCACTTGCAATTAATGCCCGACACGAAAAGCCAGCCGAGTACCTGGCACTCGATCCAATCGTAGCACTTGAAAGTCGAGTCGCTGGGTGTTGCCAGCCCGTTGTGATAAATGTCGCAGGAGCTGACAATCGTCGCATGGAAGCAATCTTTGACATTTCCAAAAGGCTGTGCTGCGAATGGGGCACACTGGGAGATACTCTTCATCTATGTCTGAAGTGGTCTTGAACTGAAATTTCTTGGAAAAGTCTGGTTAAATATATGAAAAATATTCTATTCATTTTCTAAGTTAATGCTCTATACTAAAATAAATAGCTAATGCTACCCCTAGTTCACTTTAACAGGGTATTATAGCAAAAGGCTGAGTGAGTGAGCACACGCTATGAGCACACTTGGAATATTGCTCAATTTCCCCGTTTGAGAATTTTTTTTTTTATTTATTATTTCATAAATTATAAATCAATACAAATAAATGCCAAAGACCTGACGCATTCCCTGCCCGTTGTGATCACTGGCAAAGTCAGGTGTGCTCTTTGTGGGGCGTACTCTTGAGGAAATTCCGGCTTTACAGAAACTTATAACTCAAATAATTTGCGTTTGCGGCTGCCGCTACTGCAGCAGGTGCTGTTGAACAATGGCTGGATCCACGTCGAGGACATAGCAGCCATTGATGCGGCGCACGTAGCCCTTGTTGGATGCCTCATACATGGCATTGGGCGCCAGCCGCTTGACTATCTCCTCCGGGCAGCCGAGGCGCACGGACAGCTCGGTCAGGATGAATGCAAATGTTAGCGGCTCACCCTGCTCCACCATCAGGCTGAGCAGAGCGCCCAAAATGTTCTCGTTCCACTGGATCAAAGCGGCGGCTGTCGGAGCCGGTGCCCGGCACCCGTTGATGCGTATCGGATTGGTATAGAATATGGTATTGGGATAGGCGTTCAGATATGGCTTCGAATACGAATACGAATTGATTGGCTGATATTGCTGGCCCAGCGATGCCTGCTGCTGCTGCTGATGCTGCTGCTGGTGATGCTGCTGCTGCAGTTGCAGTTGCTGCTGTTGCTCATAGTGCTGCGACAATTGCTGTTGCTGCTGGCCACGTCGGGCGGCGTACATGATGCGTTTTGGCTGCTTCGATTGCTTTGGCTTATAGGTCAGCGGCTTAACTGGCAGCCGGTAGCCCTTCCCCGGCTGCTGGGCACAATAGTTCAGCTGGACGTCAGCTGTCATCGCCTGCTTGGGCTGCTGGTAACGTGAGAAATTATCGGACAGCTGCTGCTGCTGCTGCTGCTGCTGCTGCTGATAAACTGCTGGCATCTGCTGGAGATTAGTAACGGACACTGTGTGTGACTGAAATGGCTGCTGCTGCTGCTGTGCCTGAAATGGCTGCTGCTGCTGATGCTGAAAGTAGCCGCCATCGGGACTGCTGCTGGCGGGCTGATCATGACTTAGCTCTGGGTGCGGCAGCGACGGCGGCGGCTGCTGCTGATAATATGGCAAGGGCTGGATTAGCACGTAGGGCGAATTTGCCGATGGCACTGCCTGGGCAATGGGTATCCACATAACCGGCTGCTGCTTCTGCTCCTCCTGCTGGTCTTGCTGCAGTTCTGGATGCTGATCTTGCTGCTCTTGCTGCTGAAGCTGCTCCTGCGGTGACTTCTGCTGCTCGTGTTGCTGCCCTTGTTGGAGCTCTTCTTGCAGCTCCTCCTGCTGCAGCTGCTGCTGCTGCTCCTCGCAGATTTGCTGCCAATTGCCACGCACAACGTACTGTAGTGGCGGCTGCTGCTGCTGTTGCAGTAATTGTTGCTGGTGTATTTGCTGTTCCTGTTCTTGGACGACTTGCTGCCAGTTGCTGTTGATGGACACAACATACTGCGGCTGCTGCTGCTGCTGCTGCTGCTGTTGTTGCTGGATCTGCTGTTGCTGCTCCTGAACGATCTGCTGCCAGCTGCTGCCGCCATTCACAACGTACTGAACTGGCTGCTGCTGCTGTTGTCGTTGCTGCTGCTGTTGCTGTTGCTGCTGTAGCTGCAACTGCTGTTGTAGCAATATTTGTTGCTGCTGCTCGTGGGCGAGCTGTTGCCAATTATTGTTACCATGCACATCATACTGAATTGGCTGCTCTCCCTGCTGTTCCTGGACGAGTTGCTGCCAATTGTTACTGCCTTGCACAATGTACTGGACTGGCGGCTGCTGTTGTTGCTGCTGTTGTTGCTGTATTTGCCGCTGCTGCTCCTGGACGAGCTGCTGCCAATTATTGCCCTGTACAACATACTGGATCTGCTGTGGCTGTTGTTGCTGCAGTTGCTGCTGCTGCTCCTGGGCGATCTGCTGCCAATTGCTGGGACCATGCACAACGTACTGAAGATGCTGCGGCTGCTGTTGCTGCTGCTGCTGCTGCTGTAGCTGATATTGTTGTTGCTGCTGCTGCTCTGTGACGATCTGCTGCCAATTGCTGTTGCCATGCACAACGTAATGTAGTTGTTCTTGCTGTTGCTGCTGTGGCTGCTGTATTTGCACTACCTGCTGCTGCTGATGCTGCTGTTGGTGCAGTTGCGGCGGCGAATGCTTCTGCCCGACTTGCTGCCAATTGTTATTCCCATGCACAACGTACTGCAGTTGCTTCTGGTGCTGCTGCTGTTGCTGCAATATAAGTTGCTGTTGGTCTTGGCTGATTTGCTGCCAATTGTTATTGCCATGCAGAACATAGTGCAGTTGTTTCTGTTGCTGTTGCAGTTGTGGCTGCTGCTGCTGTTGCTGCTGTGGCTGTAGGCCGGCTTGTTGCCAATTGTTATCATTGTGCACAATGATGTGCAGCGGCTTCGGCTCCTGCTGCTGCTGCTGCTGCAACATCTTGCACTCACCTTCAACAGTGGCCCCGCCACGGGGCTGAAAGACTTGGGCACCCGGGTTGAGAGTCGAACGTTGTAAAAGGGGAATGGTGTCTGCCATTTTTTTTTTTCAATAAAAACAATAAAAATATAACGATCTGAACTATGCGAAATGTTTCTCAGTTCTCAGCCGTCAGCCAGAATACAGAACACGTAACCCAAACGTCTGACAGTTAATGCCAGGTATCCTGCGATTGCTCGCTTACAATTTGATTTGAAGAGAATGAGTAATCAAAATAATAATAATAATAAAAAAGATGATAACAATAATAATAAAAATTATAATTACCGTGCTGATGATAAAAGATTATAGCTAGAAAAGAATATAACTAGGTATTACCTGCCGTTGACCTTAGACTAATAATCTCTACATATTGCACCAAAGTTGAATTCCTTAACTTTTACGCTAAGCTCTTAAGCATTATATAAAATGTATATAATTTAAATCAATTTCTGCAGGATTTGAACCGGCGACCTTCCGCATGTTAGTACGTCGCTCGAAGGCCTTATCTGTCTTTTCTACAAACATTGCCGTCCACTATGCCCAACTTGCAGTCTAGCTTTTTCTAGCTTTGGCTAAGTCAGTCTGTCGGAACAAAGTCCATTAGAAAATAGGTCACTCTTAACTTAACGCTTCGTGAATTCAGTAATGCCTTAAATATAATTGCAATATAAATAATAAAAGCAATTAAAATCGTACTAAAATAAGTTACTCACTCAAATAGTGATGGGCGCAATGCCTGTTAGAGTTGCAGCCAGTGTTGTCAAATGCCCAAGCATGCAGTCGAGAGCACTTTTGAATACTTTTTGGGCATTTTAAAGTTGTAGATGATGCTACATTCAAATAATGCACTTGTGTGTGTGCGTGTATGTGTGTGCTCAGTTATGTGAAGCTCCAAATAGACAGGCAGAGGGACAATTTGCCGGCAACTTTGCTGCCTGATGGTGACAGATGGCCAGATGAGGGCCCGACGTTTATCCTCGGCGCGACTAATTGGAGCTGCAGCCAGTGGGCGTTGGGGTGGACGGCACAATTCATATAAATATCCATAAATGCTGAGCACCCAAGAAGGCAAACACTTTCTAGCTGCAGCAGCAGCAGCAGCAGCAGCGGCAACAAAGGAATTGCTTGTAAGGCTGCTGCAACATTTTTGCGGTTGTATTTCTTTTAGACGGTGCCCCGACAATTATTTACACTCAAAAAGTTTCGCCCAAGTTGCCAGCTGGCAGTGCAATGCACAAAATGATGTTGTAGCGTTGTAGCAGTGTCCCGGCCCGAGGCGGGGCGGCGCAAAGGATGCCCAGGTGCATACAGTTGCCGCACCTGCCAAGTGTGTGCGTGCGTGTGTGTGTGTGTGCTTGTTGAAGTTGCAAGTTGGTTGCCCGCCGGCCCGGTGCCTACAACCAAGTTATGGCTTGCGACAATTGCAAAAATTATGCAACTGCTGTGGTAACCCTGGCTGCCTGCCTAACTGCCTGCCAGTTGTCCTTGCAGACAATTAAGCAGGAACAATGCAGCTACAGAAGCTTTACAAATGCTCATGCATGCCACAACAAGTCTACCTTCCCCTCTCCTCCGGAAAAGCACCTCTGGCCACTGCTGCGCATATCCTGGCAGGATGTGTTAGGCCAGCGTTTGGGCTGCCCTGCAGCACGTTGAGGCTCATTGCCGAAAGTTGTCCCAGCTTCAGACTTAGCTCCAGCTCAAGTTTTCTCTGCCAGCGTGTGTGTCTATGTGTGTGAGCTGTGCGCCGCATGTGACAAGCAAAGAAGCTAGTTTTAGCGAGAAATTAGCTAAAGAGCAGCTTATGTTGGCTTCACAGCGCTGATCCTCAAGCAACTCACCCACCAGGCATAACATAAGATATTCATTTGAATATCTGCTACTCCACAGAGCAGCAAAACATTAAAACAGCGTTGAACTAAAGCCAGACTGGTCGACTAGTAGACACTCTGTTTTCAGAGGTTTGTAAAAATGTGAATGCATAACATATATTGCTGGATATTATTTCGAATGTGACTTATTCGGCGTAGACGACCTAGATCTAAGCACCATCTAATATGGCACATACGACATTTGTTTACCCAAGTTTGGGATGCCTGGTCTTTATGCAGCTTGCCCAAAATAACATAACATCTATATTATACATATTTGATAAAGCTTGCAGCCAGTAAGATTTAAAGGGTATACTTTAGCCGTGTAGTCATTCAATAATTGTACTCAACCTAGTAGCCTGAGCACCTTCAAAGCTGTCACCCAGATTTCCAGGGGGTATCTACAAAACACAAAAACTCAGTACGACTCGCACCGTAGTCGAAAGTACACTTCAAGTATTGGGAAAAACGTAATGGAATGAGGAAATGCAAATTGAGTAGTATATTTATAATAGCTTGAGTGATAAGTGGAAGTTGTTAGGTTAAAAGTTGTTTATGTAATTTAGCTGTTTAGATTTTATGATTATTTCTTTTTAGATGCCTTGTCAATTCAACTTTCTTTCAGACAACTGTCAGATGTTTTAATTGTTTAGCGAGTTGGGGTTGAAGATTCCAAAATTAAGAACCCGATTTGTCCTGAATTGGTGCTAGTTAATTTTGCCTTTGCAAATAAAAAGTACACAAAATCCAAGCCATATAAAATATTTGGTAATATATAGGAGCGAAAGGAGTAGCTTCAGTAGTTGCCCAAATACAGGGCAGAGAGTAGATTAGCAGTGCCAAATTAAGATGGTCTAAGAAGAATCGTAGATCTAAGTAGATATTAACAAGGAAGAAATAGATTATATTTGGCACGCCGAAAATTAAATGCCCTTGAAGACATAAGGCCTGTGAATTTGCAGGCATATTAGGAGTACAGTGAAACTTGCATATGCTGAGGATCTTCAAAATGTCTAGAAAAAAGAAGAAATAAAGAAATATGAACTTAATTTCCGATCGATTCTTGCTATGAAAGAAGTTGATTTAGTTGACCGTGATGGATGCTTTAAGACAATCGACTCGGCTGTGCTCGGATGCCAGAACAATAGTTTTTAGGTGGGAGATGTTTTTTTTTTAGCCTGTAACACATATTCGACCAAAAGACATTTAAGCTATATTTGAATTTGTTAAAGGATTGCCGAATAAATCATTGATTGTGTTGATTGTGGGCCGATCCTGATGCAGTAGAGCCTACAGAGATGTATCTTATTGGGAGACTCCAGTTGTAAAATTTCCTCAAGAAATTGTTATACGAACGGACGACCAATAAACTTTATCCCGAGCCGAACCTTAAGGTCAGGCATTGACGCAACCTTTCAACTGACAGTATGCCTATTTATTGCGTTTTCGGACCCGAATATAAAAGCAAAATGCTTGGTTTTTTCTCAAAGAATTTTCTCACAATCATCATAAAAAGCTAGATACCACAAGCAAAAAGCCAAAGTGCCAACACTGACTGCGTCGGCTGTGTGCTCCATGAGGCGAGCAGGAGAAAGCTTTGCTTGAGCAGATCCCCAGCTTGCAGCTTGAGGATGCTGCAATTTACCATAGTTCCATAGTATGATTTACTTAATTGCAATGCCCCGAGCCCTTGGTAACTTGCCCGCCCCCCCGTCCGCTCAATACCGAAATGATGCAAAAATCTGGATTATGGGTTTATGTTTGGGTTTCTCATTTATAACTTGGAATTCAGATTTGTATTGGCCGCAAACGCCTGAGCCCTGTGGCTAAGCTCCCTCTGCTGCTGTATGGCACGCTGCTTATTCCTCATATCATAATCCTTGAGACGCTCCGGGGACATGAACTTGAGGAGGCGATGGCGATTGTTGACCCGCTGCCGATTGGCGGCCATGCAAATGCGACGCGACAGCTCGTGTCCAAAGCACGTCCGACGTTGCTGTCCATCGCCATCGGCTACATAGGAGCGCAGTGCCAGGCCTGTGAATGGATGACAATTGAGGTGGGATTCCATTTTAAAGCAAATTCAGCAAATACACTCACCAACTATGAATACCTTGGCCACTTCCTTAAACGATGGCTGATCCTTAAGCAACATAATCCTGAAGTGCACAAATGTTTCTTACTCCTTTCGTTCCTTCGCTTCTGCGTATCCACTGAGATTTGGATTATGTATATATATATATATATATATATATATATATATATGTTGTATATATATATATAAATATATTTTATATAAAAATATGGTAATATAATCTCTTATATTATCAATTATGATTGTTGTTTGTGTGCTCTTCGTTTGGTGGCGCACAACTCCTACAATTTTGAAAAGAACAATTTCGAGCGATACAAATGGAAAATCGACCTCTGCTTGAACTGATTTCGATTTCGTTTCTGATTTAAGCTCATGGCTTCCTGAGTCGCCTCTGCTCGAATCAGACAGCTCTACGCCTGCTTGACCCATACCAAAATGCCCAGGCAAATATTGCGACTGAGCCCCCAGCATTGAATGCTAAACAATTACAAAATTGCCCAGCCTTAGCCCAGTTCCCCAATCCTTTTCCCTTTCCCTTTCCAGCACAAAATCAAATTTCCAAAACTGTTCACACACAGCAAAAATCGAGTAAATTTGCACATTTCTGTGACCAGTTTATATACTCTACACAGGGGTCGTACGATTTTGTCAAGAGGCTTCAAGACTGTTTTTCTTAATTTCCCAAAGAATAATAGTATTAATGAATGTAGTAATATTAATAATGATAATAATAATAATCAAAATAATACTAATAATAATATAATAACAGCAATAATAATAGAATTAATAATGATAATATTAATAATAATAATAATAGCAGTCCGTACCTAACTTTGACTCCCTCTCTTCAGCGTGGAAAGCGTGTTGCGGAAAGCGTGAAACACGCCTCACGTGAAATTTCACAAAAATCTTCAAAAAGGAGCTTTACATCAATCGAAAGGTAAACTAAATAGTTCCTAATTTCGGGCTTAGAGTGCACCCCGTCAGTCAATAGCTATCAATCTATCCATCTACCTTGGTCATCTGTCAGTCAGTCAGAGAATTATTTTATATATGTAGAGATTAGCAAGGGTATTTAAAATATGGCAACTTAAAGCTAACTGTGCCCTTTGGCTTGTTATTTTTATTTTTATTTTTTCAAATTTGTTTCAGCTGTTTTAAATGTGGATATATGGCTCGTTGTGCGATTCTGCAGCTGGTCCAAGTTCCAAGTTCATTTGCCATACAGACCAAATTCATGAGCATGCCCCAGCATACCTATGGCTACGGCAATGACATGAGATGACGATGACGACGACGAGGCTGGTGATGATGATGACGATGACGATGACGATGACGATGATGGGCGTATGATGTTGGCAGTGATGACAACATGTGTGCCTAAGAGCCGCATATAAACTGCAAACTGTTCCGCGTTGGCTGGCACAGGTGGTGGCTAATATGAAACGGTTATTTGGTGGGTTTGGTGGTTTAGTGAGTGGGTGAATGGGTTACTTAGTGGATTGGCCCGTTTTGCCCAGCGGGTGTGCATGCAATGCAGACAGCTGCAGCGACTCGTATGCATACCTATCAAGATTAATTAATTATATTCATGCTGTTTGCCACAAGAACTGTTATATGCAACCGTTATACAGACTGTTCGAATGATGAGTCCCTCTTTGATTTTAAAATTAACAAGTTAAGCAACCATAAATGAATTTCTATATAAAAGTAAACCTGTTCAATAGACTGTTATATAAAACGTGTTCTGCAGTTAAACAAGTTAGTTGCATAACTTCAGTTGACGTAAACCAGAATAAAAATAAACTGTTACAAAAAATTGTTATACGAAATTTAACACGTTGACGTGAATATGTTTATTAACAAGTTGTTATATGAAACTGTTATACAAGCTGTTCTAGAAAATGTGTGTTAGGAATTAAACTACATAATCATTCAATGCAATCAACTTTAATGCAGTTTAATAAAACAAAACATGTTTTGTGTTGTAGAACAACTTAACAAACTGGCATATAAGACTGTAATACAAGATGTTCTACAAGCTGTGCTCTTGCTGTTAAACCTTGTTCGGTTACTAAATTCAACATTTATAACTATACTGCTATGTACAACTGTTATAAAAAACTGTTATTTAAAAATGTTATACAGTACTGTTATACAAATTGTGTTTTTCATTGTTAAAAAATTAATAACACAACTCACGCTGACATGAATGTGCATATCAACAAACTGTTATACTAATTGTTATAAAAGCTGACCAAAAGAAAAATGTTCTTTTTTTATATATAAGAAATTAGCTACAACATTTCAGCATACTGAAACTTCACAACTATCGTAGAGCAACTGTTCTTCGTTGTTGCAATCCAATGCCCGTAATTCACCCCCTTTTTTTTAAACAGTTTGAAATTATTGCTGTCGCAGGCAGCACCAGCAGCAACAGTAGGAACAGCAACGGCAGCAGCAGCAGCAGCAGCAGGAACAGCAGCAACTAGTCGCCTACTGAAAGAGCGTCCACTTCGTTATATGCAATTACCCATATGCAGTGATTGTCCACTTTGGCGCACTCGAACATTCATCTGAACACACACTTTGCGAAATGCCAGCAATAGCCAGCAATAGCCCGGACAACCCACACAGCCGCCCAATAAACAGCAATAAAACCCCTGTCCAATCCATATTCAACCGCTGCCACTTCATCTGTGGGCAGGAGGTGATACCCATTGGCCTGACCGGCTTTTATGCTTTGGTCATATGCATGGCATGCAAATCGATTGATGTTGATTAGCATAAATTGTCTGGACCGCATTGTGCAATGAATAATTTTGGTTGTGCCGACATTGGTCCCACACACACACACATACACGTCGCACACACACCACATTCATGCACACTGGTGCACTCTGTTGCGGGTACTTTCAGCCCTAATGCAATTTTGTTTTGCTTAATTTGATAGGCGTTGTCAGTAGCCAGTTGCAGCGTTGACACTTTGACAATGTTCCCGTTGCGGACATGACAGCTTGGGCCCCAGCTATAGGTAAACTCTACTGTTATACGCTAATAAAATCTATTGATCGAATTATAACGAAAACCAGTAGAAGCCGCGATTGCTGTGCATTTTACGCGGTTGTGCTTCTTCCCTGCACGATAAAAAATGCATTTTTGAATAACATTCATGTTTATTGTCGAAACTCTGCGCAACTTTCAGGACTAAATATGGTGTTCAACTGATTGTATATACCAAGGCGCAAGGCTCTACCTTTAAAAGTATTTTTTGTTTGGTCCTTGGAGGAAATATGGGGACGGATCCACAAAGTGGATCGTTCGTGATATTAGTTTTAAGGTTTTAAAAGCGATAATTTATCAATATTATGCAAATGGCAGAAGACAAGGTAAAATTTTAAAATAATGTAGATTTCAATTTTAAAGTTTCAGCTTTAGTAGTTAAAAGTTGTGTCTTTCTGATCGAGAATATATAGACTTTATGGTCAGAGACGCTCATTTTTGCCTACAAGTCTTTTATACCCATTTTGTCCATGTATATTTAAGCTAATTTATCTAATTTATAAATGGCAATGACATTTGTGGCAATGACATTTGTGTTGGATAATAAATTCTTTATATGGGAGAAAAAGAATAATAATTAATACCACATCTAGTAGCCTAGGCAAATCTGTCGTGCAGATTTCTATGGGGCAACCTGCAAGCAACAAATACTCAGTACTCCAAGGATCTAGGTTTAAAGGTCATTTTCAAATATATTTGAGAAAATTTATTAAAAACGTGCCACGGGCAAAGGCAGGCAACATTATTCTTGGTCAAAATTTATGTGAACATACATACATACATATACACACATACATATATATATACATACATACATACACACACACATAAATATATATATATATATATATATACATACATACATACACACATCCACATACGTACGTACATACATACATACATACATACATACATACATACATACATACATACATACATACATACATACATACATACATACATACATACATACATACATACATTCATACATACATACGTACACACATTCATACATACATTCATACATACATTCATACATATATACATACATTCATACATATATACATACATACATACATACATATATACACAAATACCAACATTCCAACATACCTGCATACTTACAAGCATACACCTCCTGCTCCGCCCCTTGGTGCTCCTCCGGCTCCTCAGCTTCCAGCGTAGAAGCCGCCTGCGCCTATTTCATAGGTGAAGCCTGCAAGCCTTACTTCAATTTTTGAGAATCGAGGAGGAGGGCAGCTTTAATAAATACGTTTTCTTATTTAAATTTGCCGCGCAACAAGACAAATTGGTCTGCTATTGGTATTTTACAAGACAATTTACATGCATACATTCATACATATAAACGCGCATACATACATACACATGCATACGCGCACACATACACACACATACATACATACATAAATACATATTTACATACATAAACACATACACACATTCATACATTCATTCAATGATTCATATATTTATACATGAATACATATACATGCATATATATACACATGCATAAATTCATACATACATACATACATACATACATACTGTGCAAACATACATACATATATACCCTCAAATATCCTATATAGATATAGGTCAGCATTTTCAATCCCCATTAATCGGTTTAAACTTTTCATAAGGCTTGGCTTTTTGTTTTGGCCTTTAGATCGAATTGGCATCTAAATCTGGCAACATTATTATTGGTATGTGAGAGACCTAGATACTCCATATTTAGTATGAATGCTCTCTGATTATGAATACTTCATTCTTAAAAAATAACCTTGTCATTTGGCCCATATCTATGCCTTTAATATTAAAATCAGGAAAATCGGACCAGCATAAAAATTATTCTACATCAAATTTTCAATAGTGTGGCATTGTACTACTTTGAGGGGCCGAGCACACTCGACTACAGCATTCTGCCTTTTATTCATTTCTTTAGTTTTATTTATTTTATTTTTAATAATATAAAAATTAAAAATTATAAATTTCTATTTAATTTTGTTTGTTCCTTTCTTTCCTTTATTCTTAGTTTGTTTTTGCTATTTGTAAGACATATTTATCAAAAGCAGATATTATATATAATTATTATTGTTTAAGCATTGCTTCTTGTTTGTGGATTTCAGCTTCCGCTTTCTTTAAGCAGCGAAACTTTTCTAATAACATGGGGAATATAGCCCAGCACACTCATTTGCACACGCACTTTCACGCACACATTCGAACACACACACACACACAATTGTACACACACAATAGCACTCACGCCCCACGG